GTCATTACAGCAACCTTGAAACCGAATTAGCCGGCCTTCGACGACGACGGCCTTCGACAACCGGCTTCGGGGCGGTTGCCCCGTTCGGAAGCCATGTCGACGGCGGCGCGTTTCTGGCATCGGCGCAGGCTCTTGTTCATCAGAACTCTCTTGGAGGAAGCATTACCAGTCCCAGCGACTATTCGGCCATCTCGAAAAGTACAACTGCCTCACCATTGGTTACACCTGGCTGGGAACACGGCTCGCTGAATCATCTTGTTGACCGGCGCCAACCTCTTGGTAGTCCGTCAGGTTCACAAGCCCTAGAGAGCTATTTCGCAACCAAGCAAAGACTAGTAGTAAAGGAGGCGTCGACTTCGGCGACTCAACGGCCGCGAACTGTCTCCAAAGATAGCTCCCCCAGCGAGAAAAGGCATTCGTCTCTGGCTGGGGTTCGATTTGGGAATGAGGCGGCTTCTAGCCCCCAGCAGCAAGTGGTTGAAAGAGGCTATTTCGAATCTGAAGATTCCATGACGAAACCCCAAAAGGAGGAGGAAGAGGATGAGGAGGACGCCGGTGCCCCGAGTAGCAGTGGTGGCGGCGCTTCTGAGCTGGTGAGTGACAAGACCGAGGACGGAGGCAAGGCAGACCTCAATACCAACAACAACGACGCATCTCACTATGGTCACAGTGTGTTGCATAGCTATGGCGCCGACTTTTCTTCAACCTTCCAATCGCTGCCTCCGAGCTCTAGTTTGTCGGCTAGACTGCCTCCCACCCCAGCCGTACCACCGCGTAGCGGCTCGTTGACGTCCATGGCTGGAGACATGCCACCTCCATCCGATAGGTTAAAGGGTCTCATACTAGACTCGCTGCCTGCCCATGTCTTTGTGTCATTGCCCCAAACAGGCGAGACTGTGTGGGTGAATAGTCGCTTCTTATCGTATCGTGGGCAGACGGTAGCAGACCTGTCGGCTGATCCATGGGGGAGCATTCATCCCGATGACCGAGCGGGCTATCTCAAAGCCTGGGGCCACTCGCTTCGGACAGGCGAACAGTTTTCAAGATCCGTTCGTATAAAGAGATTTGATGGTGCATACCGCTGGTTCTATGCCCGCGCTGTGGCGTCAAAGGACAAGAGAGGAGTCATCATGCAATTCCTGGGCTCGTATATGGACATTCATGACCAGCATATTGCCGAGCTAAAGGCTGCTCGACAAGAAGAAATCGAGGCTTCCGAGGCCAAACACCGACTGCTCGCAAACCTTATCCCACAAATCATCTTTACGGCCACCGAGGATGACGCCATTACGTTTGCCAATGACCAGTGGCTGTCCTACACCGGGCAGAGCTTTGAGGATTCGCTCGGTCTTGGGTTCATGGACCACGTACACCCTGATGATCTAGCGAGATGTCGGATTCCAATTGAACACGGAGGTCAGCCTTTGAATGACGCACAATCACCTCCGGAAGAAAAGGGTCACGGTGGAGCATCGTCGTCGGGAACCCAGACTACGCCAACGGCGCGCAATGTGCAGCAGCAGCCAGCTGTTGGCAAGTCAGGAATGCGAAACGTGCAGCCTGCGCTGTCCAGAGCCAGCAGCTCCGGTTCCGAGTCCATCTACTCCCTCCCATCCGCCGAGCTCACAGAACTCGCACGAAAGGGCATAATCAAGGTGACGACGGATACAAGCGGCAGGCTGTCATACACTACCGAGGTCCGACTGCGGTCTAAGACTGGCGAGTACCGATGGCACCTCATTCGTTGCGTCGAAATCGACACGTTTGATTTCGGACGGGGAGCCAGTTCTTATTTTGGCTCTGCTACCGACATTAATGATCACAAGCTTCTGGAGGCCAAGCTCAAGGAAGCCATGGAATCCAAAGGTCGGTTTCTGAGCAACATGTCTCACGAGATTCGAACACCTCTCATTGGTATCTCGGGCATGGTGAGCTTTTTGCAGGACACAACGCTCAATGAGGAGCAAAGAGACTACACCAATACAATTCAGACCAGCGCCAACAGCCTGATCATGATTATTAATGACATTTTAGACCTGTCAAAGGTAGACGCCGGCATGATGAAGCTAAAGTACGAGTGGTTCCACACGCGGTCTCTGATTGAGGACGTGAATGAACTCGTATCAACCATGGCCATTGCCAAGCGCCTCGAGCTGAACTACCTTGTCGAAGCAGATGTGCCTGCGTGGGTAAAGGGCGACAAGGTTCGAATTCGCCAAGTCCTGCTCAATGTTATTGGAAATGCAATCAAATTTACGGCCGAGGGCGAAGTGTTTAGCCGGTGCAGAGTGTATACCGAAGAGGACCCGGCAGTTTGCAACGAGAATGAAATTATGCTTCAATTTGCCATTACCGATACAGGCAGGGGCTTCACAAAGGAGGAGGCAGAACTGATCTTTAAGCCATTTAGCCAGATAGACGGAAGCAGCACCCGGCAACATGGCGGAAGCGGCCTGGGACTGGTGATTTCTCGACAACTTGTTGAGCTTCATGGTGGCAAGATGGAAGGCACGGCTATTCCTGGCAAAGGGTCAACGTTTACATTCACTGCTCGATTTACCTTGCCATCGCCCGAAGATCATCCCAACATCCCAATTAGTCCTGGATCAACCGCCTCCACTGGATCAAGACAAGGGTCGTCCGAAAATGTTAACCATCAAACTACAGGACTTTCCGCGGTTGAAGAGTTGCGAGGCAGTAGTAGTAGCCCAAGGGAAGGAGAAGAAGAAGGGGCAAATCCTAAGGGAATACACTCTGCATCCCCCGTATCCGCCTGTGCAAGTGGTAGCCTGGAACCTCCGAGTCGCCCTCCGAGATATCTCACAGGCCCCCCCTCGACTGCTTCTGGCCATTCCGGTCTGGCTCGGTTTAGTGAGGCAGCCAAGGCCAGTGGACAGGACTTGTCCCAAATGAAATTGGAAATGGCCGTGGACAGAGGGTCGCCGCCGAGACCGTCAACGTCAGAGGTTGGCAGCCCTCCTCCAAAGAGTGACTTGCGCCCACCACTGTACTCAATCTTGATCATCTGTGCGCAGCACCACAGCCGCGAAGCAACGACGCAACACATTGAAATGACACTACCCAAGGACGTTCCTCATCGGATCACGGCCATTGCTTCCATCGAAGACGCGGAGCCTTTCCTTGGCGGCGAAGATGCCATGCGATTTACTCACATCGTTCTCAACTTGGCGTCTGCCGAGGCCATCATTGATGTCATGGATCGAATTACCAAGTCGCAGAAAATCGAGGGAACCACCATTGTGATTCTCTGTGACTCTGTACAACGACAAGCCGTTCAGAAGCTAGCTGCCGATACGAAGCACGAGCGTTTCCTGTCAGAGAATCTCGTTACCTTTATATACAAGCCTGTCAAGCCGTCGCGATTCGCAGTCATTTTCGACCCGGAAAAAGTACGAGATCTCAGCACGGACAGAAACCGATCTACGGCGCAACAGATGGTTGAGAACCAAAAGGCCAGTTACCAAGAGATTGAGAAGCGCATGGGCAACAAGGGGTACAGAGTGCTGCTTGTGGAGGACAATCCTGTGAATCAGAAGGTGTTGAACAAGTATTTGAAGAAGATTGGAGTCGAGGTCGAGGTTGCTGTTGACGGCGTCGAGTGCACGGAAATTGTCTTTTCCAAGCCTCATAGCTACTACTCCCTGATTCTGGTAAGTTACTGCAGGGCGAAACAAAATGTTACGAGCCGAAAGCTAACGTATTATGCAAGTGTGACCTCCATATGCCACGAAAAGACGGCTACCAGGCATGCCGTGAAATACGAGAATGGGAGAAGCTGTCGAGTTTGCCCAAGCTGCCAATTATTGCACTGTCAGCTAATGTCATGTCTGATGTGCAAGAAAAATGTGTTGCGGCGGGTTTCAGCGACTACGTGACAAAACCCGTCGACTTTATCGATTTAAGCAGGGCCATGGCCAAGTTCTTTTGAGACGGAAGGAGCAGCCCATGAGTCAGCAGCGAGTTGCCCCTTGTTCATTCTACTTTACCTCACATATTCTTTTTTCCCTTTTTCTTCAACACTGTATTCTTCCTTCCGTCTTAAGAGCAGCGAGGGGATAATCTTCCCGGTGTCGCTGGCATATAAGACAGCATGAAACACGCCGGGGCCTTTTTTTTTTCCCGTTTTTTCCTTTTATTTCTATGCCTCCTATTAGGAGACAATTCAAAGCGAGCGATAGCGGCCGCGATCACCTGCTGATACACGAAAGTCTGGTTTCACGTGGTGCAAAAGCAAGCACGCTTTACGATGTTTTTGTCCATTTTCTAGCATGACGCATCACTGTATGGGATCGGTCTGGCTTATACAAGGGGGAGTGTTTAATACCCCTCCCACGTGGGTGTTTGTTGAGAGGAAAAAGACGTGCGTACCTGTTAATGAAGGATGCAAGTGTTTGGTGGACTTGCTCGTTGACGGATATTTGTGTTTACTGGGTCTGGGTTGATTCGGGTTCTTTTTCATTCCATGTGTTATTACAACGTGCGCATGGCCTCTGCGGCCTCTGCAAAAGGGTATGGAAGGCGCAAGGTAAATTCTTGTCATGTATTGGAATTGTGTAGAAAGACGTCGTCGGGTAGACGGCGCAGAAAGAATTGATTTCTTGTGGGATTAGATTGTTGGTGTCGAGGTGAACATGGTCGATTTGCCAAGCTAACAGTTTGTCTGGACACATGGAGCCTTGGTTTGCCGGGCACATACTCCGTACATAGGCTTTGGATGGTTCATTCGGGTCTCGGAGGCGGTGTTCTGTTGGAGTTGTGGCACTCGATCGTATCTGGGGTCAACTTTTTCTAATCATTTCTCACTTGGGGAGTCTGTCTTGAGAACTAGTTCCATTCTACTCATCAATCAGTCGGTCACGCCATGTATTCAATCTATGAAGCCCAATGTGTATACGCTCTGTTTTCCCGCCCAACGCCAGCAATGCTATGCCCAGAAAAGAGAATGAAAAAGAAGAAAAAGGAAAGATGTACAGCGAAATCTAGTACACGCTCCCACGAATGCTCCTGTCCTCCTTCTCAGCGGCATCCAGGTCCTCCATATCGGAGCCCGCCGCGGGCGGTGCGTCTCCCAGCCGATTGGCATGCGCGCCCATGCAATGAGAGGTGTCGCCGTTGCTCCTTGGAGCTTGTTCCTCGCCATTGTGGCTCGTCTTTCGGCGGCGGCAGCGGCGACCCAGGTCGGACGACACGTCCGAGTCGGAGCCGGCGAGGGATGCGTGGCCCGAGTAGGTGCCGCCAAAGTCGCGGCCGAGGTGTAAAGGGGGGGACTTGAGGCTGCGCAGACGGTCCTCGGCCGTGATGTAGGACGGCGTGCCGTCTGGCGAAGACATGACTTCGTCCAGGCTGCGTGTCTTCTCGAGCGGCGCGTCGCCCAGGACGTGCTGGTCGCTGTACTCGTCGTCGCCGTCGCCCATGCTCACGGTGGATTTGTGCCGGTGGCGACGGGCGGATATCATACCTCCGTTGGCGGCGGCGGAGGCGGCGGCGGCGTGACCGCTGAGCTCGTTGTCCTTCTGGCGCAGGGCCTCGAGGTCGTGACGCCTCTTATAGTGGTCAGTGTGGTTGCAACCGTTGGGACAGCCGCCCCATTTCCGGGTCACGACAAAGGTGCGTGTGCGGTCGAGCTTGGAGGTGTCGTCCTTTTCCTTTTCCTTGATACTGCTGCTGCTGCTGCTGTTGGCGAGGGCTCGTTCTCGGCGGAGTTCAGACCACGTGCGGAGCTTGGTTTCGAGGAGGAATTTGCCGTTTTCTTGCTTGCGCATGATGAGGAACTCGCAGTGGTCAACGTTGCGGAGGTCTTCAAAGTATTCGACTGTGAAGTGGTACCATTTCATGAGAAAGACGCGCGACATGAGGCCGTGAGTGACTAGATGCGGAGAAAACAAGGACAGAGGAGGTTAGACTTGGTTCATGATGAGGCAGAAAAGAAGGCGAGAGTGGTAATAACCTAAGATACAGACGCTGGCAAAGTCGTCGTCGCCGAATTGGCGCCATAGACTCTCGTTGAAGCCGCTCACGCGGTCGTAGGCGTCGGCGGCGCTCTCGCCGTTGGGGATGCGGTAGAAGAAGTGTCCGTAGTCTGCGCGCTCCTGCCACATGCGCTCCATCTCGGCGCTGCATGGCTGGAAGTTGCCAAAGTCTTGCTCGCGCAGCCTAGGCTCCTCGTAGACCTTGATGTTGGACAGGCGGAACGGCGAGGGCTCCGGGTCGTCGGACGTCAAGGTGGCGAGGAGGCCCTCTGTGGTTTCGCGCGTGCGTCGGTAAGGCGATGTGAATACCTGGAGGGTGTCGTCTGGGCGGAGGAGGTTGCGCAGGCGGCGGCCGGCCTCGTGGGCTTGGGACCAGCCTTCGGGCGTGAGCTTTACCCGGTGGTCTGGGACGGTTTGGTGGATCTCGCGGTTTTCTGAGGAAGAGGAGAGACAGCATTTAGTAATTTGGCAAGTCAAGACGGTTAGAAGAGGCTGGATGCGGCTGGCCAAGAGACGTACTGTTTCCTTCCGACTGGCCATGTCGAATGAGTATAATTAATCTCGGCTTTGCCATGGTTTTGCAGGTAGGGGGTATGTGTAGTTTGCAGAGGACAAGAGTTGGGTTGGGCCGTTGACGTCCGGGATACAATCTTTCACGACGTTGAGGTGTTGGTATTGCCGGCGGGACGGTTTGAAAACAGGCTGCAGGAAGTCGAGTCGCAAATAACGAGGTGCGGGTATATTAGATGTAATGAATGAGGGCACTCTTGGAGAAGCAGGCCATTCGAAGCTCTCGGTAGAGGTTGTCGAAAAGCAAAGAGGCATGTGTACGGAGTATGATGGTGATCGTATGTTGGAGCATGTGGATTATAAATGGTGACTCTAGACTGGAGTTGACGGACCTACACAAGTACCCCGATACCTCTCCTCAGCGATGGCAACAGGCGCCTGACATGTACTGACTACATACTTCACTTGTTTCTAAGTACCTTAAACCCAAGGGCCTGTCGCACGTGGGGCATCCCGGGACCCCAGCATGCTGGCGCGAGTAAGTATGAAACCATTTGCAACCGCTGCCTAATAAATCCTTCTCGCGTGACTTGTGTGTTGTCTTGTCTGTCGTTGGTGGTGCAGCCGCCGCGGCCAGATTATTTTACTTCTTCCCGTCCCGCTCATGCATAAGATGATTCGATATCGGCCTGGATTTGGGGGCCACAGGACTGTACCTCGACTACTTAACGTATTAAAGTGGTTGCGCGCACCATCTCGGGGAAAAGCATGTGGGGCTCCGCCTTCTTGACGTCCGGTCAACCTCAAACATCCACACACCACCCGAGTAGACCTTTTCGCAATCCTTTTCTCAGCCTTGTCAGAAATCATCCCTCCGCAACTTTAAACTTTGCCGTTGCCAAGAGCCGCCTATAGACTCGGGCCCCTTTCGCACAGCTCGCCTCCCCTATCTTTATTTATTTGTGTTCCTCCGTGTTTCACTCCGTTGTTCGGCCCCCCGGAGCGCTAGGGCATCTCCCGTCTCTGAGACTCTCGTTTTCAACACTCCTGCTTCTCACCAGCCATCACCACAGCCGTCTGCCATCACGTCACATCGTACTGCATCGCGCCGCATCGCCTCAAACAAGGACATACGAGCCCGCGCTCGCATCGTCTGACCCCGTTTTGCGCCTCCGACTCCCCGTCCCGCCCATCACCAACAAAAACCACAACTCTGGGAAAACTACCACCCTCTCAGGGAGCCGAGTCAAGCCCCCCCCCCTCAATCAAGTCGACGCAAACAAATATTCTCCGCCAAACACCCTCACAACCCCGGACGCATCCCAAAATGTCCGCCCCAGGCCCCGAGTCAATCCCAACATCGGCAGACCCGCGCTCCCGCCGGGCCACCAAGAAGCGCGTCCTGTCGCCCACGTCCTCCCAGGCCGCCTCGCTAACAGCCCTCTTCGCCAAGCCCGACCAAAACATTCCCCTCCCGTCGTCCGCCGCGGTCAAGAGGGCCCCGCACATCCCCGAGATTTACACCAACGTCCAGGGGTCCTCGGCGGGCGCTGGATCCGGCGAGTTCCACGTGTACAAGGCCTCGAGGCGCCGCGAATACCAGCGTCTGAGGGAGATGGACGAGACCCTGAAGCGTGAGAAGGACCAGGACCACTTTGAAAAGAGCCGCGCCGAGAGACTCCAACGAGATGAGGAGAAAACCAGGAAGAACAGGGAGCGGAGGGAGAAGATGAAGGCGCGGAAGGCGAACAAGGGAAAGAAGACGGGAGGCACCGGTGTTGGCCGTGGTGAGGGAGCCGAAGACGCCGCACAGGGCCCGAGTAGGCACGGAGGGGATCCAGACGTGCAGGAGGACAGGGGTGAACAAGATACAACGGCCGGAGGAGCGGCGTCTTCAGCGCCTGTTGGCCTTGTCATTCATGATGATGACTGACCGCATTTGATAGTTCACAGTACATACGGCATGGCCTTGATTTTGATACCCGTGTATATATACGCAATGCATAGCAAACCACATCAATTCATTGATGAAGAGTATGAAGCAGTTTACTTGCAGTATAATACTGCATCACATGTTGCACACATCTTGTTCGTAATCTTTTTTGTTTGTTTGTAACAAAAAGAAAACCGTCTACCCAGCTGAGGGAGTCGTCTCCTCTCGAGCTACCCGTACACCTTGAATTTTTGTAGTCTATGGCGAATTAACCCTCCAGAACCCACACTTGCTCCTCTGGCGGCGAGAGTATAGGGGTATTCTTGTTGCAAACCATACATGCTTTACTCCCTTTCTTTCCCTACCGTTGTATCCATTCCGTTTGGTGATCAAATCGTCTATCCCCTTGTCTCATCGCTCACTCTCTAATGTCTGGCTTAGTCGTCACCTCCACCAACACCAGGAGCGCCACCCAGTTGTGCCTTCTTGGCGCTGCAAATATCGTCTACTCTGAGCAACAAGCATGCGGCCTGCCAACAGTTAGCTGTGATGAATCCTCTCTCGGCTTCCAATTTATAGGCGACTTACCTCAATAGCCGTCTTCAGACTCTGCAGCTTAATAGCCTCGGGCTCCCATACGCCGTACTCTTTCATGTCCACAATGGTACCCGTGTCGCCGTTGACACCCCACGAGCTCTTTCCCTCGGCCTGCTTGGCACGTAGGTCGGTCAAGACACGCACTGGGCTTTTACCGGCGTTCTGGACCAGAGTGCGGGGAATCACCTCGAGAGCATCCGCAACAGCCTTGTATGGCCACTGCTGGACACCCTCGATGCCCTTGGCGAGCTGTGCCAGTCTAACTGAGACAGCCATCTCGGTGGCGCCGCCGCCGGGGGACAGGCGAGGGTGGAACATGACGTTGCGGGCAACGCCCATGGCATCCTGCAGATTGCGCTCAATCTCGTTGAGGACGTCCTTTGACGGACCGCGTAGGAGGATGGTGCAGGCCTTGGGGTCCTGGCACTTGGTAAGGAAAGTGAAGTACTCGTCGCCAATCTTCTCAATCTCGAACAGACCGCATCGCGTACCGACGTCGGAGTCCTGGAGGTCGTCCACTCTGTTCACAATGGTGGCGCCGGTGGCTCGGGCTATTCTGTTGTTGTCGGTCTTGCGAACTCGTCGAAGGGCGGTAATGTTGGCCTTCATGAAGTAATGCTGGGCGAGGTCTACGGTGCGTCATGTTAGCAATACAACAACACATCTTGATAGACAAGTCATTGAACGAAAAAAAAACACACCTGATACGCCCTTTTCGGTAATGACAAGGTCGGGCTTGACGGCAATGATGGCTTCGCACATGGCCTTGACCTGCTCCTCCTCAATCTGCAGGATTCGGTTCCAGTCCTCCTCCTTGGTAATTTCAATGTTGGTCTGAGACTCTCCCTTCTTATACTCCAGAGGACAGTCGAGAAGGACGATACGGGGCTTCTCAATGCGTCTGCGCATCTTGGGGTGTGTGATGTCCTTGTTCAGCATCAGACCGTCCAGGACTCTACTGTCCTCAATCTCGCCGCCGGGGACCTTTTCGATACGAGCATAGCGCTTGATGTCAACTTCAGTCTTTCCATTGCCAGTCTCCCAAGTAACGGTTCGCACGGCCTGAAGGGCAAGTTCGCACATCTGGTCCATCCATCGAGAGACGAATTTTGTACCAATAGAAGACGAGATGAGCTGGTTCATGGCCTTGTCGTCATCAATGTCGATCGGTAGTGAGATTTCGTCAATGATCTTGATTGCATCCTCGAGGGCACGTTTAAAGGCGGAAATGATGACGACGGGATGGATGTTGCGTTCGAGTTGAGGGAGAGCTTGGGCCAAGATTTCACCGGCTGCAGCAGCGTTAGATGTGACGTGTGGGTTGGGCGTGGAAGCATGGGCTGCAACGGTGATGATGCTGATTCCACTGCTTACCTAGAATGATGACGGTCGTGGTACCATCGCCAACTTCCTCGTCTTGTGTTCGGCTGAGCTCAATCATGCTCTTAGCCGCGGGGTGCGACACCTCAATCTCCCGCAGGATAGCATGTCCATCATTGGTCAAGACTATACCGCCCATAGGGTCGAGGAGCATCTTGAGCATGGCCTTGGGGCCAAGACATGATCGAATGATATCGGCAACACTATGAAAAGACGCACAAAATTGTTTAGCGGCTGGTGCTTGGATGTCGAGGCAGGGTGGTGGCAGGGTGGTTAGGCAACATACGTCTTCGCAGCGGCAATGTTGGACAGTTGAGCTTTTCTTCCCGTTTGCCTCTCACCGCTGTTGGTGTCTGCAGATATCAAAAGTCAGCATGGCAATGTCGAGATGATGCAGCTTTGGGGACTCGAAAAGCCGGCGCATCACGAGGCACCAGGGGGGAGGGTTGCCAAGAAAAAATAGGACAGCCAACTCACTCATAACCAACACTGGAGCTTGCATGATGGGCAACGTTTGCACTCGAGCGATGGGATAAAGATGAGAAGTCGAGAGCTACACCACGACCGAGCAGCTCAAGGAGAAAGCAGAGAGTTGCCGGAGAGGAGCCTGGGTGTAGGTGGAAGTAAAAGGCAGAAGCAAATGGCGGATGAGGAGGGGCCAAGCGCCGCAGACAGAAAATGTTCCCACGATGCTAGTTGTGCACCAACCAGGCAGGGATATACTTGGCGGGGAGCACGTCCTTGAGCGGAAAGCAGCCTTTGGAAGGTGGTGGTGGACAAGCCACTGGGCGCGATGAATGGCCGTTGCTGATTGGCTAGTCACCTTGCTGACCCGACCTCTGTGCAGGCTCGTTCCCGGACTGCGTACGGAGTACCGCACAGCACCGGCTCAGCGCTCCTCGAGCCGGCGGAAGCTACAGGGGCAACCAGACTGCCCTAGTCAACGTACCAGACAAGTCGACATGCAGACGCTCCGGCGGCCACTTTTCCGCTGAGACGTTCCCATCTTGAGCCAATCACAGCCAAGCAGAGCTCAACAAACCTTCATACTGTTCTTCCGAGAAAAGGCCATGGACTAGGTCACCAGTTTGAATCGGCATTATGGGCACGGATGGATGCAAATGGAGACGCGAATTGTCATGCCCGTCAGCGACTAAGTGGATGAGCCACTTCAAGTACTAATATCAATGTCCGCGTGATCAGCTTGACTATTCGGCCCCCCATGTTTTACCCCAACCCAACAGCGATTTCTTTCTTACGGTTCTAGCGTGCTCCTTCCGGAGTTTGAGACGCCACGACTGTTCCACACCCTTCACTACTCTGTATGTACGTTTCCCGAGATTGGCGGAGCACCGATGTCCTTTGACACCAGCAGCCTTGGACCCTGGGCTTATTTGCCTTGGCTATGATGGCATGTCTGCTGTTTTGGATGAACAACCTGGAACTTCACTCTCGTAGTTACTCCGTAATATCTGGGGTGCACAATCACGCCGTGTAAACTTGCTTAGTACTGCGGCCAACCGGTGTTCGGACATCGGAACCCGAGCATCCGCAGCCTTCAAAGTCACCATCCCCCACGGGTTGCCTGCTCAGCTTACCATGCGCACCGGGTTTTGCCATGCATATTTTGTCTGAGATGTTTTGCTCGTCGTAAGCCTCGAGCTTACTGCACCACTATGCACTAGCCAAATCCGTTCCCTGGCCTCTCCTGCTCTCATCGGAGATCCTGATAGCTGCTGCAGGACCTTCTCAGCCTGTTGGTAACCCATACGGGATTCCTGTGTCTCAAAATACTCTCCCCTACTCCATTGCTGGACCACTGATTGATCCCAGTCACGGCTCATTCTCAACATTGCCGTCATCGTGCGCATACCCGCACCTCTGCCTTATCCATGAAGAGTCGAAATCCTCCACCCAAAAACCTGTACCTTCAAAGCTGTCGTAAATTTCCCTTGCCCCGTCAACGGAACAGTAGAACAACAAGCCTTTAGTTCCCAATAAGCCAAGCAATGAATAGATCCGACTCAACCGGAGTTAATGAGTCCTCACCGAGACGCAAATAGATTATACACGGCTCCGCCTTAGGCATGGCCGTAATCAAATCCTCCAGCGGCACACAAAATGACTGATTTTCGGGACTTGTAGCCCCATGTGTAGTTCATCGTTTGGTTACTCCTCACCGTCGAAGCTCTCTTGGTCGTCAGATTCCCAACGCCGGAATGGGTGGTGCATCTGATAGAACCCCCCTGCTCAACCGCACCTTTCTTGAGCCCCAAGACTCGCAGCGGTAGTTACCATTCCCTCAATTCAAAGACGATGTGGCCGATGGCGCAATATCATTCCATCCCTCCCCGGGCCGAGATTTGATTTCCACAATACAAGCCGATCTGGCCATGGCGGCTTGCACCTCCTTCCACATCAAGTTATCTCGTAGGCACTGCTTTTCAAATTCGGGTGTGATGAAACACCCAGTTCCTTCATCATCATAAAAATCATATGGTGGGAGCGTTCCCATTGTAAGAAATTCATGCCCGGAGTTGGGGTAAACTACATCTGCGTTCTTTTTCGAGCACTCAAAGCTGGGGATACCACCTTTGCTATATCGTAGCACCAGACGCAAGCTCAGTAGCTGCGAGTCGGACAGCTCGCCAGACGAATCGGTCAGCTCTGGGCGTGAAGTCACCTAGACTTCACCCAGCTTCTCGACCTGTCGACTATGTATGGCGAATACTACCCATGATTGCGCTCCGACATATGGGTTGTCGGGGTCATCGACCACGAAGACTGGCTTCGTGATTTTGACCCAGGTCCAGGATTGGATGACACCTGATATGTGCGGGCTAAAGGATAAGTCAATTATCGTTCTTGGTGGCAAGCTCCACGGAGATTTTGACGTACATGTCAGTTTCAAAGATTCCAATTGAACCCCAATCATCGTCAATTGTCATGATGGTATCCAGTTCATTGCCCAGACAAGCCAGATTATCAACGGGCAAGGGAGACTTGCTTGTCTTGAAGCTGATGGCCCTCGCGCTTAGGCGTTTGCACCCGTATTTTGACGACGAATTTTGCAGCCACTGTCGATAACTGACGTGGGAGGTTGGATGCCATAGTTTTTTCGGTGCTCTGAAGGACTCCAGTGCAACTTTCGTAGAGCCGCTTCGCCAAAAGGGGTTATCCAGCTGCAGTGCAGCTTGGAGTCGATTCGAAGATGATTGCCTATCGTTGCCAGTTAGCTGCTTGGCTGTCTCTGTGCTCACCTCTTGAAATCGTACACATGAGGTATCCGCATAGCAAGACGCGCATTGACAACATCATCTAGCCACCCAAACGACTGCTCTGCTTCATCTGTTGACAAGGGGCCGTTGTCCATCTCCTCACCGTTGGTTCGCTCACAGTCGTCAGTGTCGCCGCCAGTACCAAACACTCTGCCACAAAGCCGCTGTAAACCAGCTACGTGAGTCAAGTTTTCACCTTGATTCGGTTGGCAAGACACATTGGCCGCTCTCTTGATGTAGTCAAGATATTGCCGTTCTTTCGTGAACGTATGTTGTAGGCCCAAGGCAAGGATTTCGTGGATACTTCTTGAGCCTCGGGATTGAGCGGCTCGTGTGTGAGTAGCCCTGCGAGCGTGCGATCTGGCGGCGTTGATCTTGGAATGATTTTTGCCTGAATCCGTTGTAGTCTCGCATCCGGTTCCTGTGATTGTAGGCGTGCTTCGACCAGAGCCTTCGATTTCGGGGCCGTCTACGTCGCATTTTTTGATGCTAGAGGAAATGCTACGAGTGCTCTTTCGGATGCTCTTTGGGCGTCTAACTGCGTAGCGATTGCGAGCCATGGCGCTTCCTTGGCTGAGGAACAAAAAGCTCAATCAACGTGTGATGCTTGAAGAGCCGTCATCTGCTGTAATGACGGTGTTGCAAGATGGAATCACACATCCACAAACAGCGTGATGAGCAGATGTTGGAGAAAAGAAGTCAGAAATGAGAGTATTGAATAATTCCAGACGAGGCTGGCAATATGTAAGAGCTGGTGCTCATTCTATCTGGTGACGAAAGAGTGAGCTGGCCTGTTGCGAGGTGCAAGTTGCCGAACAGCGGCCCACCTCACAGAGAAGAGAATTGCCTGCCTTCGTTGACAGCTGTGAGGTTTTGCATTCACTGCGGTGCTCCGGGCCAATATACGATGAGAGACAGTGAATCTTGGGGTCCAGACCCAAAAAAAATATACTATCTGCAGTGTGCTCGTGTACGTATACTTGACCTGTAACAAGAACTCCCAAGTTACTTTTTCCTCGAGTACGCCACGCATGCTTGTGAAGGCGTCAGAAGTATCGCCCTTGAGCCGTGGTGAGAAATCCATAGCAACCATGCGAAAATGCTACAATCAGAATGCACCTTCAAGCCCATCCCTACACAAGGTGACCCATTTTGGTATACGTGAGTTGATGAGTTTGACGAGTGGAAGATGTGGAAGATGTGGCCGTGGCTGCGCGTGTGCGTGTGCGTGGGCCCACGGGGTTGGCGCATAAAAAAGCTAACATTGAAAGACGCGTCCAGGTCAATCAAGCCCGTCGTCTGCCGCGGGCCGTTCGTTTCGCTGCAACGACATCGCGTGCCGCTTTGTTTGGTGGGGCCACCGCTGCACCTCGACCTCTTCAATACTTTGCGCCAACTCTCCCGGCGGTACAATTCCCGACTATATAACAGTGCAATGCCTCTTTCATGACTTGGCCATCGATAGCCCTCTCCAACTCGGCGCGTTGCCCGCTCATGCTAGCCCCCGAGCCCCCAAGCCCCCAATGCCGCCATGTCCCGTCTCTCCATAGCAACCAAATCCCGCCTCCCATCGTCTCTGCGCGTCGAATCCACCAACACAGCCGCCATCAAGGCCATCAGCCGACTGTCTCGCGAGGCCCTCATCCTCCTCGCCCTCGATTGGCTCGACGGCCCATCCCTAGCGTACACTGCGCCTTATCTATCGGCCCCCAGAGCCGACGATGACGAGACGCCAGAGGACTCGGCGGACCTCTACCCGCCCTGCAAGTCCATCGAGGAGCTGCACGACCTCTACACAGATCTGCAGCAGCAGAGGGGCTCCAGGCGCGATGTTGTCAGTCGCATATTGGAAGGGGATTGGCGCCATGGGCTGACGCTCTACCAACTTGCCATGATCGACTTTGCCTACCTCGACGAGCACCCTACGTCTCAGAAATGGACGGCATACAAGATCCAGCCTTTGAATCTGCCAACCAAAGACGCTGATGATGAGATTCTCAAGCCAGACGAGAAGAGTCTCAACCTGCCGAGATTCCATCCGTCGACGTTCCTACAGAGCCTGCAGGAGCAGGTCCTGCCTGACATCAAGGCTCACTATCACTTCTCACGACCGAAAAAGTTTCCTCTACTGCTGCTGCGCATATTTGCCATTGAATCGCCGTATAATACAGATTTGGCCCTTTCAGGCCTCAACGGCAGCGGCAATTCTACCAGCTTTCATTCTTCCCGTACCATTTACCTAGCTTTCCCGGACGGCTCGCCAGCATTGTACATAACCAGAGCACAAGCCACCGGGCCAATTAGCCACGGAGAATCAAAAAGCCTACACAGCCTCATTGCGAACGGCGTTCCGCAGGCGCTTTCGCGTCCTCGGGAGCGATACACTCTCAAGCCCACGAGTCTCGTGAGCAGAAATCTGGAGGCGCTCCTGGACAAGAGGGGCCCGGGGCGGAGCAATGCCGCAGGAGGCGGATGGAGCATCTACGCAAACGAAAAGGACAAGAAATCGCCGCTGGACACGCTCCTCCCCACACCGCCACTATCGAGAGAGTCGTCGTCGAACGCGGAGACGGCTCAGAAGCGCTCAAGGCCGCTGTCACAGCATGAGCGCGCGGCGAAGCGAGCCAAGACGGTGGCCGAGGCGCGCTTCGGCAACTCTGGCATCGTGTCTGACGGCAAGGGCATTGAGCGGTTTGAAATTATTATGCAGGATCCGTATCCCGCGATAGACGGTCTGTTTGTACAGGACTCTGAGGACGAGGATGACAGGCGGAATCGGCAGACGGATAGACGGAGGAGCAAGATTGATGCCGCGCTACGGCAGGCCTTGGGTGATGGTGAAGAGGAGGAGGATGAAATCGATCCGACGCGGTGGACACCGATTGTGAGGATCAACTTTCAGGGCCCGCATGTCTTTGCAGGAATACGGCAATTAGTTGAAGCTGGGATCGTGGACGGCGAGCGAATGCCAGGATGGATGACGGGCGAGGATGGCGTGACCACGGGCGTTGTGAAGAATGGTTTGATACGGGGCCACAAGGGTTCAGGATTATGATGCAAGGGCGGAGTTTGAATTGCTTTCTTGGGTATATGGTGTATTTTATATTTCTATCGTTGATACCCCCTCTATGTGAATGTGACTATGGCCAATGTATATATATGTATATATATGTGCGTATGCCTCACTTGTCTATGTCGTTTCCCCGAGTCTGAATACGTGGACGGTGTTCTTCCAGGCAGCTTCGCAGACCTCTTCAACGCTCACGTCCTTGATGGCGGCAATAATCTGGGCAACGCGCTCAATGGTGCACGGTTCGTTTCTGCCCTTGATCATTGCGCCTTCTTCCCACTTCTCCTTCTTCACAATCTTGAACCGGTCCGGTACCTCGGGCTGCTTCTTCTGATTCTTTTGTTTCTTGGGCTGTTTTGCCTGCGGCTCGGGAGCGGCAGCTTGGGGCGCTGCCGTTCCGTTCTCCACGGGTGCCTGGGCGGCCTTCCTCTCTATGAGGTACTTGTATCCTTCGTGGCTGGGGCGGACTTCGCACCACGGCCCGTCCGTCTCCATCATGAGCCTGTCGAGGCGGACAGCCTTGACGACGCGGCAATTCTCCTCCGTCTTGAAACTGCACCCGTTGATGCCAATGTATAGTCCCAGGTCCATCAACTCCTCCATCTCCTCCATGGTGCCCGTAAAGCTGTGCACGACGCCACCCTTGTCTAGGTTTTCTAACCTCTCGCCAAATACGCCTTTCAAAATGGCGACAAAGTCACCGTGGGCAGCTCTCGAATGTAGGAACAGGGGTAGTTGCGGCTGCAGCGAGGCCGCGACGCGGAGCTGCGCTTCAAACGAGTGCTTCTGGATTACTCTATTGCAGTAGTTTAGTCGGTCATAGTCGAGGCCGAATTCGCCCATGGCCACCATGTGCGGTTGGCTGGATGACCTTGCTTGGGCCACGACCGTGGTGAGTAGTGAGATGGCATGGGCCGATCTTGCGGCGTCAGGATGGTGCTCTTCTGACATGGGAGCGTAGGGGTCGCCTTCACACGGAGTCGTGTGCTCGCTCTGCTTCTTTTTGAGGTCTGCCGCGCCAAAGATGGCACTGCTGCATGGGTGGATGCCGACTGTTGCGTAGCAGGTCCCGGCTGGTTACTCGCCGTTAGCATGATATGTCTATGAGATTCAGCGGGGAAGAGGGCGCGGACTGAAGAATACGTACGGTATTCTTCTGCCAGGTTTAATGAGTCTTGGGAGCTCTTGATGTCTGATCCCGTAACTATGAGCTTGGTACATCCTACTTGTCGAGCGCGGTCGATTACTCCTGTGAGGTCATCGGGGTGTTTTTGGTGGCCATGATATCTGCCTCTGAAGATGGGGTCGGACAAGTTGATTCCAATCTACTTGGTGAGAGGCGGTCAGGATATGATACATCTAGAGCCACGGGCTGGCAGCTTCGATATGGCGTTGTGGTGACCTACATCAACATATCTGGGCTTGTAGGTGCCGTTCGGCGTCTCCCCCGCCTGAGAAGCCATTGTTGCACGGCGTAATATGCTTTTTGGAAGGGAAGTGTTATTTCGAAGTCGTCTCAAAATCATTGAGAAGGGTGTTTACGCCCCTTGTGTCTTTCCTTGGTTCATTGATTGAGTCACACAAGGAGTCACGGGCAATTTTCTTATGAACACGTGCAACTCTTATTGGAGCTTCAGGACGGCCTGCAGGCGCACAATCTGCCACTTCTCACTGGAACCACCCAAGTCGTGCCTGGCAGCTAATCCCATCTTGGCCATCGTCGTCAACATGTGCTTCGTCAGGTGATCCCAGTGGCCTTGATGGCTGCGAAACGGCTTAAAAATCCATTAATAATGGGGTGCGTCTCACGTGATTCCGCGCCAGATATTGAACGTAGTATGACGGGTGACAGGGGTGCGCGCTCCTACACGATGCCCCGCGAAAGTGGATGAGGGCCAGACGCAAGATACATAAAAGCATTTCAACCTCCGAGCCGAAGAGCCGCAGGTCCGAAACTGCAAGTGGAATTCGAGAATGCGCCGAAATTAAATCGTCCATTGACTCTTGGGTCCGCCAGGGACATATCCAGGCAAACCAGGCACAAGAATCCGCCCTTGAACTTGGCAATATTGTAACAGTGCTTTGTCACCGCCACCGAAGCCCTGATCACTCACGCTGGAGCTGACGACGGTGCGTGGGGCCCGTGTTTAATGGATTCCACGGATGGATGCACTGGCCACTGGCCACTTTAACCTAGCACAGTTGACCAGTGCCGTTTCTTGTTGTCGCGCTAGCAGGTGCGTAACGCGTGCTGTGCAAAACACGCGCCGCACTTAAGAAGGCTTTCAACGTCCACCTGTACGAGCATTTTTCTTTTCTCGCCTCTACACAAACCACTCTTGGACAGTCGACGGCATCATTTGCCGGTTCTAACTCCATCTTCTCTGCTCCTGTGGACCGTGGCAGCTGCTGGTGCCCTGGTAGACACTTGCAATAATCGAGGACACGTTTGCCTCGAATTTGAATTTATTATACCCCTTGGATCCTCATCGCCGCTCAACCCTCCCGAGGCCACGTCGTCACCATGTTTGTCAGAAAGCGCGGTACGTATATCATGTTCTCAGCTCCACGACTTCGCAGCGAGCCTCTTTTGCTAACGCCCTGCAGATGGTCGCCAAGAGCGCGTCCAATTCGACAAGATCACTGCCCGCGTCTCAAGGCTGTGTTACGGCCTAGACACGGAGCACGTTGATCCTGTTGCCATCACCCAGAAGGTCATCTCTGGTGTCTACGGCGGTGTAACCACAGTTCAGCTTGATGATCTTGTAAGACCACTTCCCGTCAATTTACCATCGAGCTACACGTCAAAAATTCTAACGCTTGTTACCAGGCTGCTGAGACCGCGGCTTACATGACCGTCACCCACCCCGACTACGCCATCCTCGCCGCCCGTATCGCCGTCTCCAATTTGCACAAGCAGACCAAGAAGCAATGGTCTTCTGTTGTCAGCGATCTGTACCACTACGTCAATCCCAAGAATGAGCGTGCCTCGCCCATGATTTCCAAGGACACGTACGAGTGCGTCATGAGACACAAGGACGAGCTCGACTCGGCCATTGTCTACGACAGGGACTTCAACTACCAGTATTTTGGCTTCAAGACCCTGGAGCGATCATATCTTCTGAAGCTCAACGGTAAGATCGTTGAACGACCTCAGCATATGATTATGCGTGTTGCTGTCGGTATCTGGGGAGACAACATTGAGCGCGTCATTGAAACCTACAACCTCATGTCAAGCAAATTCTTCACCCATGCCTCACCTACACTCTTCAATGCTGGTACTCCTCAAGCCCAGCTTTCTTCGTGCTTCCTTGTGGACATGAAGGATGACAGTATCGACGGCATCTACGACACTCTCAAGACTTGTGCCATGATTTCCAAGATGGCCGGTGGCATCGGTCTCAATGTCCACCGTATTCGTGCCACTGGCTCTTACATTGCTGGTACCAACGGCACCTCCAACGGCATCATTCCCATGCTCCGTGTGTTCAACAACACTGCCAGATATGTTGACCAGGGTGGCAACAAGCGTCCCGGTGCCTTTGCAATCTACCTGGAGCCTTGGCACGCTGATGTTTTCGAGTTCCTCGACCTCAGAAAAAACCACGGCAAGGAGGAAGTCCGTGCTCGTGACCTTTTCCTTGCCCTCTGGATTCCCGACCTCTTCATGAAGCGTGTCGAGAAGAACGGCGACTGGACTCTGATGTGTCCCAACGAATGCCCTGGCCTTGCCGACTGCTATGGTGAGGAGTTCGAGGCTCTGTACGAAAAGTACGAGCGAGAGGGCAAGGGCCGCAGGACCATTCGGGCTCAGAAGCTCTGGTACTCCATCCTTGAGGCTCAGACCGAGACTGGTAATCCCTTCATGCTCTACAAGGATGCCTGCAACAAGAAGAGCAACCAGAAGAACCTCGGTACCATCCGCAGCTCTAACCTTTGCACTGAGATTGTTGAATACTCTGCCCCTGACGAGGTGGCTGTCTGCAACCTTGCCTCTCTAGCTCTGCCTGCTTTTGTCGACTACGACGAGGGCCGCTACGACTTCAAGAAGCTCCACGAAGTCACTCAGGTTGTCGTTCGTAACCTCAACAAGATCATTGATGTCAACTACTATCCGGTCCAGGAGGCCCGCAACAGCAACATGCGACACCGACCTATCGGTGTTGGTGTTCAGGGTCTTGCCGATGCTTTCCTTGCTCTGCGAATGCCTTTTGAGTCTCCCGAGGCTCGCGAGCTGAACAAGCAAATCTTCGAGACCATCTACCACGCTGCCTTGACCGCCTCCATGGAGCTGGCCAAGGAGCAGGGCCCTTACTCTACCTTCAAGGGATCTCCCGCCTCAGAGGGTATCCTTCAGTTCGACATGTGGAATGTCACGCCTTCTGACCTGTGGGAATGGGACACTCTCAAGCAGCAGATTAAAGAGCACGGTATCCGCAACTCCTTGCTCCTTGCTCCCATGCCCACTGCTAGCACATCGCAGATCCTCGGCAACAATGAGTGCTTCGAGCCCTACACCTCCAACATTTACCAGCGACGTGTCCTGGCTGGCGAGTTCCAGGTTGTCAACCCTTGGCTGTTGAAGGATCTCGTCGATATGGGTCTTTGGTCTGATGCTATGAAGAACCGCATTATTGCTGAGAACGGTTCCATTCAGAACATCCCTAACATCCCCGCCGATATCAAGGCTCTCTACAAGACCGTCTGGGAGATTTCTCAGCGACAGGTTGTCCAGATGGCCGCCGACCGTGGTGCCTTCATTGACCAGTCCCAGTCTCTCAATATCCACATGAAGGACCCTTCAATGGGCAAGATCACCAGCATGCACTTTGCCGGGTGGAAACTGGGTCTCAAGACTGGCATGTACTACCTGCGCACGCAGGCTGCTGCCGCTCCTATCCAGTTCACTGTTGACCAGGAGGCTCTCAAGGTTGCTGATGCCAGTGTTGGCAAGGACAGACTTCCCAAGAAGCGAACCGCGCCTG